TCACTTAAACACTGTCTGGAAATCATTTGGTTACAAATAGGGAGCATTTGCAATAACAAGTTAAATCTGTGCTCTGTATATGTATTTGTGGTCTAGCTTTTAGGGCTGATAATATAATATATAAATATAATATACAAAAAAACTTCCTTTTAATTATACAGAAATCTAAAGGCAGATTCTGACACCACTGCAAATACCGACTTTAATGTATATAAATGAATCCAGTTTATTCAAATAACATTCATAAGCAAAACCTCTAACAAATCAATGTCATGTTGTATGGTGACTATTGTCTTTCACTGGACACTAGTAACTAGTGTGATGTGTCTAGACCTCTCTTTGGTGCAGACTGAATTCTATCAGTCAGGTGTACAATATGGACACCATTCTAGGTAGCTCGACATCACGGTGCACTCTGAATTGTTGATATTAGATGGTTGCAGGGAATCACCACGAAGATTTGGACCTACGTTTCGTGCTAGTTAGCACTCGTCAGCAAAGCGTATCAGCAACAGTCGAACATCAACAATTCAAAGTCCATCGTGATGTCGAGTTACTTAGAATGGTGTCCACATTGTAAACCTGACTGACAGAATTCAGTCTGCACAAAAAAGAGAGGACTAGACACATCACAGTAGTTATTAGTGTCCGATAAAAGTATCCAATACAGTCCTACAGGAAGGAGGTCAATCGCGAGCCTGAATAGTTCGGTGATATCGTCTCTGACTGAAGGCGGCACTGGGTGATGCCAGTTCAAGTCACATCTCAGAAGGGACATGAGTTCCTTCAAGGTTGGGGGTACATCTTGATGACGAGTTCCAACTAGCACGAAACGTAGGTCAAAGTCTTCCTGTGGCCGATTGCCTTTAACCATCTAACATCAACAGGTCACTAATGTTATTCAGTAATACGACAAACTTTCAACCCTTGTTAGAGCTCTGGGTACAAGTTCTTGAATCGGAACCAGTTCTTCTCAGTCTTCCATCCAGTTCAATAGTCTTAACGTTGTCGCAATAAACTCTGCTCGAAATTTTTGCTGTGGTTTATGGATGTGAAGATCTAGTTGTGACTACTAGTAACATTCATCGATTCTGACAACAGCATCCCACAGTGAACCAGTATGGGGGAGTATATTCTCTGCACCATTTTTCTGTTAGTTGAAATATATAGCACGCACAAACCGTTTCTTATCAATGACATTAAACAAGTGAACGATAAGCAATGCACTTTTGGTATGTGCACTCTACTACTAAAACATACCAACAAATCATAGTGCATTCAGGCGAATTAGAATAATTAATTTGATATTTCGACTAACTTACCAATATCAGAGGTAACTGCGATGAAAAATAATCGGTCGGACGGCTTGCAATCCATTCGGCAGCCAGTTAGAAAGTGTATGATGAACAGCGTAAGCCATATAATAAAACACCTACATGGTTGTTACATGGTCGCAGAGACGGCAACATGATCAGTTCATAAGACTCTGTATCTAGGCGCGCTTACCATTGAGATGTACATTCGCAATTTGGGTGACTCATTTTTCCTCCCAGATCTACTGATATCTCAGAAAGTGGATGGTGTACGAAAGTCCCAACTTGGTCTGAAAGAGGCGGTGAACATGTCTGCCTGTTTTCGACAGAGAACTTTGCACTGATGTGCGGAAGTTCAAGTCGCCACACTCCCTCCATGTAGTACACAAAGTAACAGAAGAAAGTAGAAGAAATGCATAATAGAGACAGTAAACAGAGGTGTGAGACAAAGGAATAGTAATGACGAAGAACAATATAGTTTCATTGGAAATCATAAGTCACAAGGAGTGGATGCATCTGCACCAGCCATTGAAAACAATTTTCAGCCACATCACCAATCGTTTCCAACCATTGGTGTTTACCGTCCCGAGGACCCCAACCAGTTAGGAAGTCTACACCTTCCTACGTGGCTGGCTCAAACTAACTGTTGTGGACTTCATTGACTAGTGCCATGTTTTAGTTTGACCACAGCTAGCTGTCTTCCAACCTGATCAATCCTATGTCAGCTAACATTGCCCGCCAGTCGAGGAAGGCGATGACTAGGCACACGTAACACATGTCCTAACCATTTCAGTCGATATAACTTCACAACCTCCTCTATTGATTCCCCCTCCTTACTTAACACTCGCCCGAAGCTTAACCTCAATATTGCTCACCCTATTATACCACTTCACACGCGAGATAGAGCGCAGTCACCTATGATCGAAGAGAGCTAGTCAGCCTTTTCATTTCTTCCACTCTCAATGACCACGCCTCGCTCACAACCATAAAGGAGGACGGAGCGGACTGATGAGCAGTACACCCGCTCTTTGGTTGACAGCCAACCGGATATCACGTCTACGCCAGAGACGACGTAAACTGGCTGGCATATTCGAAACTAGTCCTCTGTATCCGTGTTGAGATTTCGTCAGAGATCAACCCGTTGGCACTGGCTGATGCAACTTCCCAAATAAGTGAAGCGGTCAATGTGCTCTACCACTTCACTCCCTATTTCTAAACTAGGAGTCAGTGTAATCCAGTCCTGTAATATCATGTTACATTTGGTGGGAGCGAAGCGCATGCTAAACATTCACAGCTCAAGGTGTTCAGAAGACTCTGCATTTTGTCAGCGTCTTCACCTAGAAGCAGGATTATATCGTCTACATATTCTAAGTCAACGAGATTATTCCCTGGTAGAAAGTCAATCCCTGAGTCTCTGAGGTGAGTTAGGGTTAAGTCCATGAGTACATCTATGATGAAATTGAATAGAAATGGGGATAATGTGCATCCTTGACGGGCACCACTAGTCGTCACCACTTCAGATGACAACTCGCCGTAAGCCCTCACCTGGCTGAATGCATGAGTTCAAGTGGAGTGAGATCCTTGATCAGTACAATATATTTCCACGCCATTCCCTTTACAGCCAAGCATCGCCAGAGTACCTCTCGGTCGACAGAATCGCAGGCCGCCATTAGGTCAATAAATGTAATGATTGTTGGATGGCAATAAGAATGCGTATGTTCTAGAATCTGTCGAAGGGTGAAGATATGATCAACACACCCTCTTCCTGGTCTACAGGCTGTCTGACTCTCTCGTGTTTGTTCCTCCTGAGCATCACTTATTCTTCGCATGATTATTCAGTCTAGAACCTTAGATACCATATTAGTCAGGCTAATCCCCCCTTGATAATCACAGGAAGACTTGTCTCCCCTCTCGTATATGTATACAGTGAACATATGGCTTACTGAGTTAAACACTTGATGCTCAGTCAGAGTTTTGAAGAACTAGGCGCTATATCATCAGTGTTTCAACACAATAAGTGTACATGCGAAAATGAGTTCCGTGAAAACAAGTTCAAGTTGACTGGTTTGATAGATTCCCAGAAAGTTATGAGACAACGAATGCAAATTTCAAATTTATGCAGACAATAACTTAATGCATCTGTTGTGTTGGAGCTACACCAAAATCAAGCCTGTAAGCAGTCAAGAAAAGTCTACTCCCTAAGCTAAGGGATATGAAAAAGCAAAACGAGGGAGAAATGAGATTCGTATTTCTTCTTTTATTTTTTTTTCATTCTTTGCGACTTGAACAACAAAATAAATAAATAAAATAAATGAAAGGAAATTACAGACCGTTTCTACATCGTAAACAAAAAAAAGGGAGAAATAGGCAACTTTGTGCATTAATCAGTTCATTGATATTAATTAATTAATTAATTGAGTGAGTGAGTGAGGTTTTACAAAACAAGCATAAAGAGAAAATATTACTATTAATAAGAAAATGACAGAAATAATAATCACAATGATACAGGAAAAAAAGAGACTAAGAGAAGAGATACTACCACTAATAATGATAACAATAGACTAAACTACTTACTTGATAGGTAATAGTACACTTACAAAAAAAATAAAGAAGAATTCCCCGTAATTACTAGTGGAAGCACAGAGGAGCAGATATGCGTACATACTAGTGAGTTGTTAAATGCCATATATATATATATATATATATATATATATATATATATATATATATAGAGAGAGAGAGAGAGAGAGAGAGAGGGAAGACAGATCCTCAGGAGTGCAGAAGATAAACTATCCTTTTCATTTGAAAGATAAAAAAGGGGAGAACACTAAGCAATAAATTGTAATGCAATGCATCAATAATGACAGGATCGTCATAACAGTAACAATTGTATTGAGAACAATGCAAAACAAAATAGTGATAGTGATCATGTGACGCCGGTAATGACGATGATAAGACTAGTAAAAAATAACAATAACAAACAGGGGGAGCATAGTTAATCAGTGAATGCGGGAGGAGTTGGGGAACAGACGACGGTTTAACAGAAGAAGAAGAAAACGATAATACACTTAAGATATTAGTACAGAAGTAATCCTTCCCTTTCAAAATAAATAAATAAATAAACAAATATTAGAAAGACGATAAAAATACAGTTTTTTCCCTGTGTACTTATTTTGTAAGGTATAGACTAAAAAAACAAGGATTAAAATTAATCATTGAGATTAGGATGAGCGGGAAAACATCCTGATAATTCATTGTATACATGTTTATTAAACAAAGGCGCCTCCAACAACCCCCTTCCCCACCGTATTAACAATTATTGATTAAGGCAAAAATACGAAGAGAAAAAGTAACAACAAACAATAAACTGAAAGAACTGTGAGACGGGGGGGGATTCAAAAACAGCACAGCAGCCCAAGAGAGAAAACAGATTACCTGAATTAGTACTGGGTATTTGATTGTCTTTTTTCGGTGGGAAATGCTTATAAATAGCAAGTGTGAACAGTTCAAAAAATGTACCAGAAAGTGATTAATATTATTATTAATATTATTGTTATTATCAAAAAGGACAGAGTATTCTTACTGCATCGCAATTATTGAACAAAATAATACATGAGAAATCAGATCTGTTAAGGCGAAACAGTAAGGGGAAATGAGATTATTTATATGAGTTATGTTAGGCATATTTTATGTAGCAGATTCATGGACAATTTCTTGAGATGTAATATCATAAGAACCGTTTGTTGTCACTGAATTTTGTACAGGCACAGGAGATGGTGAATGAATTGTTGTTGAGTGACACGATAAATTGAGACGACACTTCTCAATACGATCAATAACGTCGAGAATGTCTGGACGTAATAAGTGATCAACACTACAACAATCTACCGCCAGCTGAAATAACCAAATAGGACAGTCTGATGGTATTGGAAGGTTTTCATGATCCAGACCAAAAGACTATGAAAGAGAAAATACAGAACTTATGAGATAGAAAAGCAACAATAAGATAGACGAACAATTAAATGAGACTTATTCATTAAATGAATGTATGGAAATTACTATTCTGTTTTCTACACTTCGGAAATCATTGTATACAGCTAGCTAAAACATCCATCCACCCATCTGATGGCAGCAAACTCATTATTATCTACTTAGGGATAGGCAGAAAATCCATTTACCTTCACTATACATGGATAAAAGTTTTTACAGACAGTGCCGTTCAACTACAACCGTCTTATAATTACACTGACATCATACATGGAACAAAATGTAATACATACCAATTAGGTTTAGTTGTAACAACTTCTTGTGATCGAAAATCACTAGTAGTCCTTGTGGTGAGAGCAGGCTTCTACCCAATGAGTAGACACTAATCCACGTCAATGTCTAGGTCACTAATATTGTCCGTGAGAAATATGAACAAGGCTGATTCAACAACCAATCATAGCAGACTTAAACGTGGGCAAATATGATTCGCAGATAGATGGCTCCACTTTCCAAGAAACTCGAAAACAACCAATCAGAAGACTGCGTTTGTCTACTTGAATAAGCTATAATGATGTACATGAAATATATATAAATACGTGCTGATTTCCTCAATAAAAGGATCTGTTGCCGGCCCTTGTCTTCTGTTGTTACATCCTTACTACCTTTCCTAATACCATGGCAACTACAACACACAACAATTAAAAATCTTAGAAGGCAGAGAGATTGAGCATATAAATACTATTGTTCCTTAGTAAATTATTTAATCTTACCAACACATCAAGTCATAAACGCCAACAAATGACCTGTATCAGACATAACACAAGTGACCAAGACATTACATTACACCAGTAAAGTTAATCGCAGAGGTGCGATCAATAAAGGATGACTTGAAGCCTTGCTGAGCAAATAATACACACCGGGTTAGATCAGTGGTGATTAAGTCAAATAATTCACAAAATACTTTTGTATTACAATCGATTTCACAGTATGATTGCTTAAAATATTACACATAAGTGTGAAAAATTCACGTACCGATTTTCGAGGGATAAGGGAACAGTCATTGGGAAAACGTGTTATCAGTTCACACACCAAAAGACCATAGGAGAAAATATCTGCGGCAAATGTATACGGTGCCACTCGGTTTAAGCATTCTGGAGCTGTGTAAAATGGATTCCCGACGACTGAAACAGCGTCAACATGATCCCTTAAAATAAGAGAAAGGACACTGAGAATTAATACACATAACAAATACATTAGAAATGTAGTGGAAACAATATTTATGAAGAAAAGGTTGTAATTGTAAATGAAATCCGAGGATAGAAATGCTGCTCTTTATTTCATACTGGTAAACCTTTATGGAAGTAAGTGATGGTATTTTGCATAAATTTAGAAATCAGAACCCATTTACCTAAAATGCTAAGCGATGAGTAATACACAGGACACATGTGCTACAATCCACTGCCGAAGGTACTTGCTATTTTTATATGTAATAAATAACCCTGAAATCACATTTACTTCTATATAGTCGACTGAACGTGTGACTGCCTAAATTATGCTAGGTGGTGAGAATTTGAGAAGCGCATGTTACAAGTTGGTTGCGCACACCAATAAACCATACGAATTTCCATCGACTGAATATGTGATACATATACCCAACCACAGTATTCGTTGACGAGAAATGCTAGTTATAGCAGGGGTTTGAATATAATAGAGTAAGGGTCGTCAGAACGAAACATGGCACCTATCCATAAGGACGCTGGTGACTGATTGGTCTGATTTATATATTACACGATATAGGTTCCTAGCTGGAGTAGTCAGGGCGCTAAGACTCAGTGATTGCAGACACTTGGTGTTTTGGCTAAAAATCACTTACAATATCATAGATGTATTCACTAATAATTAGTCGCATAAGAAATTCTGAATTGAATTATTCTGTCATCTAAACATTTTTATGCATTCTTTGTTAAATGACTACATCTCTGTTATTTTCTTCTCTTCTGTTAATTGCCTTCTTAAAGTGTGACAACTTGGAATGATGTACGATTGTACAATACAGTTCTGAGTCCGTCATTTCAGTTCATATCTTCACCCTTCGACAGATTCTAGAACATACGCATTCTTATTGCCATCCAACAATCATTACATTTATTGACCTAATGGCGGCCTGCGATTCTGTCGACCGAGAGGTACTCTGGCGATGCTTGGCTGTAAAGGGAATGGCGTGGAAATATATTGTACTGATCAAGGATCTCACTCCACTTGAACTCATGCATTCAGCCAGGTGAGGGCTTACGGCGAGTTGTCATCTGAAGTGGTGACGACTAGTGGTGCCCGTCAAGGATGCACATTATCCCCATTTCTATTCAATTTCATCATAGATGTACTCATGGACTTAACCCTAACTCACCTCAGAGACTCAGGGATTGACTTTCTACCAGGGAATAATCTCGTTGACTTAGAATATGTAGACGATATAATCCTGCTTCTAGGTGAAGACGCTGACAAAATGCAGAGTCTTCTGAACACCTTGAGCTGTGAATGTTTAGCATGCGCTTCGCTCCCACCAAATGTAACATGATGTTACAGGACTGGATTACACTGACTCCTAGTTTAGAAATAGGGAGTGAAGTGGTAGAGCACATTGACCGCTTCACTTATTTGGGAAGTTGCATCAGCCAGTGCCAACGGGTTGATCTCTGACGAAATCTCAACACGGATACAGAGGACTAGTTTCGAATATGCCAGCCAGTTTACGTCGTCTCTGGCGTAGACGTGATATCCGGTTGGCTGTCAACCAAAGAGCGGGTGTACTGCTCATCAGTCCGCTCCGTCCTCCTTTATGGTTGTGAGCGAGGCGTGGTCATTGAGAGTGGAAGAAATGAAAAGGCTGACTAGCTCTCTTCGATCATAGGTGACTGCGCTCTATCTCGCGTGTGAAGTGGTATAATAGGGTGAGCAATATTGAGGTTAAGCTTCGGGCGAGTGTTAAGTAAGGAGGGGGAATCAATAGAGGAGGTTGTGAAGTTATATCGACTGAAATGGTTAGGACATGTGTTACGTGTGCCTAGTCATCGCCTTCCTCGACTGGCGGGCAATGTTAGCTGACATAGGATTGATCAGGTTGGAAGACAGCTAGCTGTGGTCAAACTAAAACATGGCACTAGTCAATGAAGTCCACAACAGTTAGTTTGAGCCAGCCACGTAGGAAGGTGTAGACTTCCTAACTGGTTGGGGTCCTCGGGACGGTAAACACCAATGGTTGGAAACGATTGGTGATGTGGCTGAAAATTGTTTTCAATGGCTGGTGCAGATGCATCCACTCCTTGTGACTTATGATTTCCAATGGAACTATATTGTTCTTCGTCATTACTATTCCTTTGTCTCACACCTCTGTTTACTGTCTCTATTATGCATTTCTTCTACTTTCTTCTGTTACTTTGTGTGCTACATGGGGGGAGTGTGTCGACTTGGACTGCCAAACATCGGTGCAAAGTTCCATGTCAAAAACAGACACACAGAAGTAACAACTATGAAATATATTTAATGCCGAGAGGATTTGTGGAGAGAAAGGATGCATGCCAATAAAGACTAATTATTTTAGTCTTAAAATTGATAAATACAAAAATGACTAAACAGTTTAACTATAACTGCATTGAATAGAAAGGGAATGGGAAGCAAAATTAGAAAACTTACTGACTTAAATCCAAACATAAACCCAAGTCGGCTACAAGTGCTGTGAAAGTAAACGGACTGTTCGACGTTAAAACTTCTGATCGATTTAAGCATTTTAAAAGGCATAAATCATTACTACTGATCAACTGCTTCCACTGTGGTTCAATAAGTGGCATAGCCTGTAAACAATTGATGGGAATACTTAGCTTATTGGTACAAGATATTTCACGACTATGATTACTTATAAATGAAAGTAGATGGGCTAAATTTAAACCGAATTCATCAACAGTAGTTGCATCGTTGTCTGAGTTTAACAGATCTAGATAAGAGTTGGATAGTAGAAACTCGTCTGTCTCACTATCTTGATGGACTCTATTATAACCCTGTTGTTGTTGTTGCTGCCGAAAGTAAGGATTATGAAGATTATGACGGTGTTGAGATACACCATTTTTATGTGTATCTCCTTTGGTGTGTATATCACATTCTGAGATGGACTGCTTCGTTTGTGTATTTCGTTCATGAAAACTATCACGGTTAGAAGTTGAATTGAAACCATTATCCGCTGTGTCAGGATAAATTCGTGGTTGAACTCGAATAAGGATATTCTGGAAAGCAAGAAATATATATATATATGTATATAAAAATATTTCTTGATTATATCACGAAAACACTATCAAATGAATAATAGTGAAAGGTGTATTGACAATATTGTCTCACAACTATAATTCTCAACTGTCAGATCACGTAATTAGGTTGACGTCTGCGTTACACCTTTTTTGATTAGGTAAACTTTTTTTTGTACTGGTGGTGGTATCGTTGCTCATCCTGTTTGTTTCAGGAGCTTAGTTGATGCTAACATTTTAACAATAATATATGCACAATAATTGTGGATAACTGCAGACCCTGAACTCACTCATAGGATGAAGCTTCCTATTGAAGAAATTATTGTAGGAATTCGCTTATGCCTAACATCTACTATTTTTAAATCCCAAGGCGAAATATATAGACAAACAGACCTCACTGGTCCAATTAGAAGTTAGAATTCCTGAGCCATTGAATCGGATCCCAGTGGCTGAATGGTATACGAGCGAGCTCGCCCTGTAACCGGAAGGTCCTGGGTTCGAACCCTGGCAGTGGGTGCGTACTTCCGATGATTCGTAAACTAGGATGAAACAGCTGTCCAGTACTCCCTGGTTTTCAATGGTTCTCTAACTGATATCAATCCGTGATCAACTCGTAAAAAAATAACTAACCCTTACAAACCAAACTATAGTAAATCAGATGGTTTAATTCTGAAAATTCGAGTACCATCAGTGGCCTAACAGTCAAATATCAGGTCAACGGAACTGTTGATGCCAATACAGAGTAACACGAGAGTAAGAAAACTTTTGGAGGCAACTAATCAAAGTCAAGAACATCAATGGGGACAGTTATTTCATTGGAGGGGAATTACAAAAATCTGACTTCACATTGAAAGCAGCACTGGAAATGTTGTCAAGATGGACTATGAAAGCTTCACACTTAAACCCTTCAGCTCACAGAACACAACCAAATCAAAAAAGACTGGATTTTTCAAAACTATAGTGCAGTGTGACTATTAAATTAAATGAAAATCCCCATTTGTAAACAGTACGCTTTGGAATTCCCTTGCGTTGTCACCTAGTTCATTAGTGACATCTTCATCTAAGGCTGGAACTGAAACAGAGTTTGAATAGATTCCAAAGAAAGTGGTTCAACACGTGTGTATTTGACAATTTCTTTCTTGTAGTCAGTATACGCTGGCATAAAGTTTAAATTCAGGTTTTTTTGGAGAATTTATTTAAAGACAGCAATCATATATAGACACCGGAATTTCTGCATTTGAAAATAACTTCGCTGAAAATAACTTTGCTCATGAGAATTGAGCGGTGCATGTAGAATTCTCAGCTAATTATTAGGATATCAATAATTCTGCTACTTTCTAAATCCATACGTCTAAAATTCTTTATTTTCCTCTAGTTCAAATGAAAATTGAGTTTAGAATTTACAAATACTCTGTTTTCTCACGAAGTTTATTTGTGATTGTGACCTTTATATGAATCTGATTTGTTCTTATTTTTTCTATTTTAATTGATGGATAACAGTCGTCACTCAGACATTTCATGCTGCATCTGACTGATTTCAGTTCATACATTTTCTCACCAACTTGTATACACAATTACTTGGGTTTATGACTGTATGCTATCCTTGAACAACGAATGGCAAGGCATGATGCATTGTCAACTAATATCTGATGTATTATGCGAAATTTTATTGAAACCGTATGGTGTGTGTGAGAGAGTCATTTTAGTCGATAAGTGTTTACCTGATTTCTACCCGAAAGGTAGATTTGGTAAAAAAAAAACAGACTGTCAATTCTCACTAAATCAAATCTATCACAGCCCCGAGGTTGTATTAGCGACAAGATATCACTTAACTATCTTAGAATAAATCATATGATATATTGAGTAAATAGGTAGGATATTTCTGTTTGACTGGTATTTGTTTACTGGTGAATAGCTCATGTAACTTTAATAACTCTACAAAGTGATTTTTATCTGATTGAAAGGTGAACCTATTCTTAAGGTCTCAACACAAAACATGAAATCTTCTGTGCTAGAATTGGAAATCTGATTAAAATAAAAACAATTTCTAATTTGCATCATTTTGATTAAGAAAAAAATGTCTAGTCATGATATCTACGATATTATAACTGAAGTATTAATCTTAGAAACACAATATAAAGTGTTCTAACGTATTTAGACACATTCATCAACCTGAAACCAATCTGGATATCTTCTGCTGTCACTCAGCATCAACAACAAAATTCGGTCGGATTTTCAATACAAACAACGTCAAGTCAGTCAGTTCTTCTATACGGAACGCATCAGAAACTTGGCGGGCGAGCGGGTCACAAAGAATATTTCCAACAGCCTGTTGAAGACCAGACCTTTACCAGACCTTAACTGTCTTCTCTGGATCTATAGTGAAGACCAGATGACCGGGCGACAAAGAATCCCCAACAAGGAACTATAAGAAGGAAGAAACAAAACAAGAACCAAAGGCCAACCAACAGCAAATATGCAGGAGAAAGTGGAGATGGATTGGACACTCGTGGCTGAGGAGGCCGCTGGGTGACATCGCGCGAGCGTCAGGCCATTGCTCGAGTGGAACCAGGCCGAAAGGGAAGCGGCGGTGAGTGGGACATCAGTACATGGAGGATATCGTGTGAAGAGGAGTTGAACGAGTATGGACTAACATGGATGCAGGTGAAAAGTACAGCAGAAGGAAGACAGAAGCAAGTGAAGGCGTGCAGATGAAGCCCTATGTTCCACTAGGAACCCAAGGGAACAATAATAATGTATTTAGACACTTCAATGCTGTCTAGATAACTATGAACTTGATGGAACTAGATATTACCCTGAATACATAAGTAACTTATAGATAGGATATAAGTAGCGGGAAAAGAACAAGATCAAACTGATAAGTCAACAGTATACGCATATATATATGGAGTTGGTAAATATTCTGGATTCATACTTAACACAAAAAATAATAGTCGCTGTAGAGAAATAACTTACACTGATATTTCACACTTTGGAAAGGAACTCATGTGACCAATGAAGATAAACGTATAGCATTGTGAACGCTCTATATTTATAAAAATGACAATAAGTTTAGTTCTGTTTCACAAACCGGAATTGAATGTATTAGCATGCGTCGGCACCAAAGAGAAATACGACCTCCAGCAGGAAAGACTTCCTAATGATTGGTTTCCAACATGTAATTGTGGAAAATATCCATTAGGTCATTAGATAAAAAAGCAGGTCAGAAGATATCTTATCAGCGATTTCGTGTTTAACATATTTTATAACTGGAGGTGAGAAGAAATGAAGGATACTACTGGAAAATTGGACCAAAATTAATCCCATGGTACATATTTCTTGCTTGTCAGCGCATATAGCAAAAGCTTCTGCTGGGTAAAGGAGGAAACACACTCCCTTAGGTAGATATTATCCCCTTTTTAAATGCCGAATCGGTTGTGACAAAGTGTTTGATTATAGTACTTTTAACAGACCCAATACGTCCTTTCAGCAACCGTGCTTGCTAGTATAGTATTCCTCAATTCTTTTTGAAACGATATACATAGGACGATCTCCACACATAGTTTCTTGAATGACTTTATTTCTGTGACAGGATAATTTCAGTTTCAGTGCTGGTTGTGATAAATCCTCAGCTCGAATGACGCTTGAGATCTTTAGAAAAACTAATTACACTTAACATTTTCACTGTGTCCAATTAAATAGCTTAGTGTTTCAGTTTTGAGCTGACTGACTGGTTTTAACATTCAACTTTGTACCGATGTGTAGCAGTTCGAGTCGCCACACTTCACTTAGCACACAAACCAAGAGAAGAAAGTAAAAAGAAATGCAAAATATTGAGACAGTTAACAGAGACATGCGTCAAAAAGAATAGTAATATCGGAGAACCATATAGTTTTATTGGGTATTGTAAGTTCACAAGGAGTGGATGCATCTGAGCCGTCATCGAGAACGATTTTGAGCCATCGAACACCAATGGCTGCATCCACGATCACGATATCCAATGCTAACTTCTACTAAGTACGACAGACAGCCACTGTCATAGGCATCTATTCTCACGCTCAGTTTGATGGAGCCCACCTTCCAATCAGAACTTCATTATATGACCAGAATAAACTCCAACGTAGGCGACGGGTAATCTGGGTCTGGATCTAAAGGTCAAAGTTACACTTTGCTGATGAACGCAAGTAATCACGACACCCAAACTCAGGATATTTCAATAATGACAAAATCTAAATAAAAGTAGTATAATAATTATCACTATATATCTTGAATCTATACATCTGCACAAAGCGCTGAAAGCAAAATATTTCTACTGCATCAATGATAACACTTATCAGGGAACAGGATATGAACTATCAAATCACGATTAGCTACAATGACAGTTTTGGCGATGCTGTTAGTCACTTAAACACTGTCTGGAAATCATTTGGTTACAAATAGGGAGCATTTGAAATAACAAGTTAAATCTGTGCTCTGTATATGTATTTGTGGTCTAGCTTTTAGGGCTGATAATATAATATATAAATATAATATACAAAAAAACTTCCTTTTAATTATACAGAAATCTAAAGGCAGATTCTGACACCACTGCAAATACCGACTTTAATGTATATAAATGAATCCAGTTTATTCAAATAACATTCATAAGCAAAACTTCTAACAAATCAATGTCATGTTGTATGGTGACTATTGTCTTTCACTGGACACTAGTAACTAGTGTGATGTGTCTAGACCTCTCTTTGGTGCAGACTGAATTCTATCAGTCAGGTGTACAATATGGACACCATTCTAGGTAGCTCGACATCACGGTGCACTCTGAATTGTTGATATTAGATGGTTGCAGGGAATCACCACGAAGATTTGGACCTACGTTTCGTGCTAGTTAGCACTCGTCAGCAAAGCGTATCAGCAACAGTCGAACATCAACAATTCAAAGTCCATCGTGATGTCGAGTTACTTAGAATGGTGTCCACATTGTAAACCTGACTGACAGAATTCAGTCTGCACAAAAAAGAGAGGACTAGACACATCACAGTAGTTATTAGTGTCCGATAAAAGTATCCAATACAGTCCTACAGGAAGGAGGTCAATCGCGAGCCTGAATAGTTCGGTGATATCGTCTCTGACTGAAGGCGGCACTGGGTGATGCCAGTTCAAGTCACATCTCAGAAGGGACATGAGTTCCTTCAAGGTTGGGGGTACATCTTGATGACGAGTTCCAACTAGCACGAAACGTAGGTCAAAGTCTTCCTGTGGCCGATTGCCTTTAACCATCTAACATCAACAGGTCACTAATGTTATTCAGTAATACGACAAACTTTCAACCCTTGTTAGAGCTCTGGGTACAAGTTCTTGAATCGGAACCAGTTCTTCTCAGTCTTCCATCCAGTTCAATAGTCTTAACGTTGTCGCAATAAACTCTGCTCGAAATTTTTGCTGTGGTTTATGGATGTGAAGATCTAGTTGTGACTACTAGTAACATTCATCGATTCTGACAACAGCATCCCACAGTGAACCAGTATGGGGGAGTATATTCTCTGCACCATTTTTCTGTTAGTTGAAATATATAGCACGCACAAACCGTTTCTTATCAATGACATTAAACAAGTGAACGATAAGCAATGCACTTTTGGTATGTGCACTCTACTACTAAAACATACCAACAAATCATAGTGCATTCAGGCGAATTAGAATAATTAATTTGATATTTCGACTAACTTACCAATATCAGAGGTAACTGCGATGAAAAATAATCGGTCGGACGGCTTGCAATCCATTCGGCAGCCAGTTAGAAAGTGTATGATGAACAGCGTAAGCCATATAATAAAACACCTACATGGTTGTTACATGGTCGCAGAGACGGCAACATGATCAGTTCATAAGACTCTGTATCTAGGCGCGCTTACCATTGAGATGTACATTCGCAATTTGGGTGACTCATTTTTCCTCCCAGATCTACTGATATCTCAGAAAGTGGATGGTGTACGAAAGTCCCAACTTGGTCTGAAAGAGGCGGTGAACATGTCTGCCTGTTTTCGACAGAGAACTTTGCACTGATGTGCGGAAGTTCAAGTCGCCACACTCCCTCCATGTAGTACACAAAGTAACAGAAGAAAGTAGAAGAAATGCATAATAGAGACAGTAAACAGAGGTGTGAGACAAAGGAATAGTAATGACGAAGAACAATATAGTTTCATTGGAAATCATAAGTCACAAGGAGTGGATGCATCTGCACCAGCCATTGAAAACAATTTTCAGCCACATCACCAATCGTTTCCAACCATTGGTGTTTACCGTCCCGAGGACCCCAACCAGTTAGGAAGTCTACACCTTCCTACGTGGCTGGCTCAAACTAACTGTTGTGGACTTCATTGACTAGTGCCATGTTTTAGTTTGACCACAGCTAGCTGTCTTCCAACCTGATCAATCCTATGTCAGCTAACATTGCCCGCCAGTCGAGGAAGGCGATGATTAGGCACACGTAACACATGTCCTAACCATTTCAGTCGATATAACTTCACAACCTCCTCTATTGATTCCCCCTCCTTACTTAACACTCGCCCGAAGCTTAACCTCAATAATGCTCACCCTATTATACCACTTCACACGCGAGATAGAGCGCAGTCACCTATGATCGAAGAGAGCTAGTCAGCCTTTTCATTTCTTCCACTCTCAATGACCACGCCTCGCTCACAACCATAAAGGAGGACGGAGCGGACTGATGAGCAGTACACCCGCTCTTTGGTTGACAGCCAACCGGATATCACGTCTACGCCAGAGACGACGTAAACTGGCTGGCATATTCGAAACTAGTCCTCTGTATCCGTGTTGAGATTTCGTCAGAGATCAACCCGTTGGCACTGGCTGATGCAACTTCCCAAATAAGTGAAGCGGTCAATGTGCTCTACCACTTCACTCCCTATTTCTAAACTAGGAGTCAGTGTAATCCAGTCCTGTAATATCATGTTACATTTGGTGGGAGCGAAGCGCATGCTAAACATTCACAGCTCAAGGTGTTCAGAAGACTCTGCATTTTGTCAGCGTCTTCACCTAGAAGCAGGATTATATCGTCTACATATTCTAAGTCAACGAGATTATTCCCTGGTAGAAAGTCAATCCCTGAGTCTCTGAGGTGAGTTAGGGTTAAGTCCATGAGTACATCTATGATGAAATTGAATAGAAATGGGGATAATGTGCATCCTTGACGGGCACCACTAGTCGTCACCACTTCAGATGACAACTCGCCGTAAGCCCTCACCTGGCTGAATGCATGAGTTCAAGTGGAGTGAGATCCTTGATCAGTACAATATATTTCCACGCCATTCCCTTTACAGCCAAGCATCGCCAGAGTACCTCTCGGTCGACAGAATCGCAGGCCGCCATTAGGTCAATAAATGTAATGATTGTTGGATGGCAATAAGAATGCGTATGTTCTAGAATCTGTCGAAGGGTGAAGATATGATCAACACACCCTCTTCCTGGTCTACAGGCTGTCTGACTCTCTCGTGTTTGTTCCTCCTGAGCATCACTTATTCTTCGCATGATTATTCAGTCTAGAACCTTAGATACCATATTAGTCAGGCTAATCCCCCCTTGATAATCACAGGAAGACTTGTCTCCCCTCTCGTATATGTATACAGTGAACATATGGCTTACTGAGTTAAACACTTGATGCTCAGTCAGAGTTTTGAAGAACTAGGCGCTATATCATCAGTGTTTCAACACAATAAGTGTACATGCGAAAATGAGTTCCGTGAAAACAAGTTCAAGTTGACTGGTTTGATAGATTCCCAGAAAGTTATGAGACAACGAATGCAAATTTCAAATTTATGCAGACAATAACTTAATGCATCTGTTGTGTTGGAGCTACACCAAAATCAAGCCTGTAAGCAGTCAAGAAAAGTCTACTCCCTAAGCTAAGGGATATGAAAAAGCAAAACGAGGGAGAAATGAGATTCGTATTTCTTCTTTTATTTTTTTTTCATTCTTTGCGACTTGAACAACAAAATAAATAAATAAAATAAATGAAAGGAAATTACAGACCGTTTCTACATCGTAAACAAAAAAAAGGGAGAAATAGGCAACTTTGTGCATTAATCAGTTCATTGATATTAATTAATTAATTAATTGAGTGAGTGAGTGAGGTTTTACAAAACAAGCATAAAGAGAAAATATTACTATTAATAAGAAAATGACAGAAATAATAATCACAATGATACAGGAAAAAAAGAGACTAAGAGAAGAGATACTACCACTAATAATGATAACAATAGACTAAACTACTTACTTGATAGGTAATAGTACACTTACAAAAAAAATAAAGAAGAATTCCCCGTAATTACTAGTGGAAGCACAGAGGAGCAGATATGCGTACATACTAGTGAGTTGTTAAATGCCATATATATATATATATATATATATATATATATATATATATATATATATATAGAGAGAGAGAGAGAGAGAGAGAGAGAGAAGACAGATCCTCAGGAGTGCAGAAGATAAACTATCCTTTTCATTTGAAAGATAAAAAAGGGGAGAACACTAAGCAATAAATTGTAATGCAATGCATCAATAATGACAGGATCGTCATAACAGTAACAATTGTATTGAGAACAATGCAAAACAAAATAGTGATAGTGATCATGTGACGCCGGTAATGACGATGATAAGACTAGTAAAAAATAACAATAACAAACAGGGGGAGCATAGTTAATCAGTGAATGCGGGAGGAGTTGGGGAACAGACGACGGTTTAACAGAAGAAGAAGAAAACGATAATACACTTAAGATATTAGTACAGAAGTAATCCTTCCCTTTCAAAATAAATAAATAAATAAACAAATATTAGAAAGACGATAAAAATACAGTTTTTTCCCTGTGTACTTATTTTGTAAGGTATAGACTAAAAAAACAAGGATTAAAATTAATCATTGAGATTAGGATGAGCGGGAAAACATCCTGATAATTCATTGTATACATGTTTATTAAACAAAGGCGCCTCCAACAACCCCCTTCCCCACCGTATTAACAATTATTGATTAAGGCAAAAATACGAAGAGAAAAAGTAACAACAAACAATAAACTGAAAGAACTGTGAGACGGGGGGGGATTCAAAAACAGCACAGCAGCCCAAGAGAGAAAACAGATTACCTGAATTAGTACTGGGTATTTGATTGTCTTTTTTCGGTGGGAAATGCTTATAAATAGCAAGTGTGAACAGTTCAAAAAATGTACCAGAAAGTGATTAATATTATTATTAATATTATTGTTATTATCAAAAAGGACAGAGTATTCTCACTGCATCGCAATTATTGAACAAAATAATACATGAGAAATCAGATCTGTTAAGGCGAAACAGTAAGGGGAAATGAGATTATTTATATGAGTTATATTAGGCATATTTTATGTAGCAGATTCATGGACAATTTCTTGAGATGTAATATCATAAGAACCGTTTGTTGTCACTGAATTTTGTACAGGCACAGGAGATGGTGAATGGATTGTTGTTGAGTGACACGATAAATTGAGACGACACTTCTCAATACGATCAATAACGTCGAGAATGTCTGGACGTAATAAGTGATCAACACTACAACAATCTACCGCCAGCTGAAATAACCAAATAGGACAGTCTGATGGTATTGGAAGGTTTTCATGATCCAGACCAAAAGACTATGAAAGAGAAAATACAGAACTTATGAGATAGAAAAGCAACAATAAGATAGACGAACAATTAAATGAGACTTATTCATTAAATGAATGTATGGAAATTACTATTCTGTTTTCTACACTTCGGAAATCATTGTATACAGCTAGCTAAAACATCCATTCACCCATCTGATGGCAGCAAACTCATTATTATCTACTTAGGGATAGGCAGAAAATCCATTTACCTTCACTATACATGGATAAAAGTTTTTACAGACAGTGCCCTTCAACTACAACCGTCTTATAATTACACTGACATCATACATGGAACAAAATGTAATACATACCAATTAGGTTTAGTTGTAACAACTTCTTGTGATCGAAAATCACTAGTAGTCCTTGTGGTGAGAGCAGGCTTCTACCCAATTAGTAGACATTAATCTACGTCAATGTCTAGGTCACTAATATTGGCCGTGAGAAATATGAACAAGGCTGATTCAACAACCAATCATAGCAGACTTAAACGTGGGCAAATATGATTCGCAGATAGATGGCTCCACTTTCCAAGAAACTCGAAAACAACCAATCAGAAGACTGCGTTTGTCTACTTGAATAAGCTATAATGATGTACATGAAATATATATAAATACGTGCTGATTTCCTCAATAAAAGGATCTGTTGCCGTCCCTTGTCTTCTGTTGTTACATCCTTACTACCTCTCCTAATACCATGGCAACTACAACACACAACAATTAAAAATCTTAGAAGGCAGAGAGATTGAGCATATAAATACTATTGTTTCTTAGTAAATTATTTAATCTTACCAACACATCAAGTCATAAACGCCAACAAATGACCTGTATCAGACATAACACAAGTGACCTAGACATTACATTATACCAGTAAAGTTAATCGCAGAGGTGCGATCAATAAAGGATGACTTGAAGCCTTGTTGAGCAAATAATACACACCGGGTTAGATCAGTGGTGATTAAGTCAAATAATTCACAAAATACTTTTGTATTACAATCGATTTCACAGTATGATTGCTTAAAATATTACACATAAGTGTGAAAAATTCACGTACCGATTTTCGAGGGATAAGGGAACAGTCATTGGGAAAACGTGTTATCAGTTCACACACCAAAAGACCATAGGAGAAAATATCTGCGGCAAATGTATACGGTGCCACTCGGTTTAAGCATTCTGGAGCTGTGTAAAATGGATTCCCGACGACTGAAACAGCGTCAACATGATCCCTTAAAATAAGAGAAAGGACACTGAGAATTAATACATATAAAAAATACATTAGAAATGTAGTGGAAGCAATATTTATGAAGAAAAGGTTGTAATTGTAAGTGAAATCCGAGGATAGAAATGCTCCTCTTTATTTCATACTGGTAAACCTTTATGGAAGTAAGTGATGGTATTTTGCATAAATTTAGAAATCAGAACCCATTTACCTAAAATGCTAAGCGATGAGTAACACACAGGACACATGTGCTGCAATCCACTGCCGAAGGTACTTGCTATTTTTATATGTAATAAATAACCCTGAAATCGCATTTACTTCTATATAGTCGACTGAGCGTGTGACTGCCTAAATTATGCTAGGTGGTAAGAATTTGTGAAGCGCATGTTACAAGTTGGTTGCACACACCAATAAACCATACGAATTTCCATCGACTGAATATGTGGTACATATACCCAACCACAGTATTTGTCGACGAGAAATGCTAGTTATAGCAGGGGTTTAAATATAATAGAGTAAAGGGTCGTCAGAACGAAACATGGCACCTATCCATAAGGACGCTGGTGACTGATTGGTCTGATTTATATATTACACGGTATAGGTTCCTAGCTGGAGTAGTCAGGGCGCTAAGACTCAGTGATTGCAGACACTTGGTGATTTGGCTAAAAATCACTTACAATATCATAGATGTATTCACTAATAATTAGTCGCATAAGAAATTCTGAATTAAATTATTCTATCATCTAAACATTTTTATGCATTCTTTGTTAAATGACTACATCTCTGTTCTTTTCTTCTCTTCTGTTAATTGCCTTCTTAAAGTGTGACAACTTGGAATGATGTACGCTCGTACAATACAGTTCTGAGTCAGTCATTTCAGTTCATATCTTCACCCTTCGACAGATTCTAGAACATACGGATTCTTACCGCCGTCCAACAATCATTACATTTATTGACCTAATGGCGGCCTGCGATTCTGTCGACCGAGAGGTACTCTGGCGACGCTTGGCTGTAAAGGGAATAGCGGGGAAATATATTGTACTGATCAAGGATCTCACTCTACTTGAACTCATGCATTCAGCCAGGTGAGGGCTTACAGCGAGTTGTCACGTGAAGTGGTGGCGACTAGTGGTGCCCGTCGAGGATGCCCATTATCCCCATTTCTATTCAATTTCATCAAAGATGTACTCATGGACTTAACCCTAACTCACCTCAGAGACTCAGGGATTGACTTTCTACCAGGGAATAATCTCGTTGACTTAGAATATGTAGACGATATAATCCTGCTTCTAGGTGAAGACGCTGACAAAATGCAGAGTCTTCTGAACACCTTGAGCTGAGAATGTTTAGCATGCGCTTCGCTCCCGCCAAATGTAACATGATGTTAAAGGACTGGATTACACTGACTCCTAGTTTAGAAATAGGGAGTGAAGTGGTAGAGCACATTGACCGCTTCACTTATTTGGGAAGTTGCATCAGCCAGTGCCAACGGGTTGATCTCTGACGAAATCTCAACACGGATACAGAGGACTAGTTTCGAATATGCCAGCCAGTTTACGTCGTCTCTGGCGTAGACGTGATATCCGGCTGGCTGTCAACCAAAGAGCGGGTGTACTGCTCATCAGTCCGCTCCGTCCTCCTTTATGGTTGTGAGCGAGACGTGGTCATTGAGAGTGGAAGAAATGAAAAGGCTGACTAGCTGTCTTTGATCATAGGTGACTGCGCTCTATCTCGCGTGTGAAGTGGTATAATAAGGTGAGCAATATTGAGGTTAAGCTTCGGGCGAGTGTTAAGTAAGGAGGGGGAATCAATAGAGGAGGTTGTGAAGTTATATCGACTGAAATGGTTAGGACATGTGTTACGTGTGCCTAGTCATCGCCTTCCTCAACTGGCGGGCAATGTTAGCTGACATAGGATTGATCAGGTTGGAAGACAGCTAGCTGTGGTCAAACTAAAACATGGCACTAGTCAATGAAATCCATAACAGTTAGTTTGAGTCAGCCACGTAGGAAGGTGTAGACTTCCTGACTGGTTGGGGTCCACGGGACTGTAAACACCAATGGTTGGAAACGATTGGTGATGTGGCTAAAAATTGTTTTCAATGGCTGGTGCAGATGCATCCACTCCTTGTGACTTATGATTTCCGATGAAACTATATTGTTCTTCGTTATTACTATTCCTTTTTCTCACACCTCTGTTTACTGTCTCTATTATGCATTTCTTCTACTTTCTTCTGTTACTTTGTGTACTACATGGGGGGAGTGTGTCGACTTGGACTGCCAAACATCGGTGCAAAGTTCCATGTCGAAAACAGACACACAGAAGTAACAACTATGAAATATATTTAATGCCGAGAGGATTTGTAGAGAGAAAGGATGCATGCCAATAAAGACTAATTATTTTAGTCTTAAAATTGATAAATACAAAAATGACTAAACAGTTTAACTATAACTGCATTGAATACAAAGGGAATGGGAAGCAAAATTAGAAAACTTACTGACTTAAATCCAAACATAAACCCAAGTCGGCTACAAGTGCTGTGAAAGTAAACGGACTGTTCGACGTCAAAACTTCTGATCGATTTAAGCATTTTAAGAGGCATAAATCATTACTACTGATCAACTGCTTCCACTGTGGTTCAATAAGTGGCATAGCCTGTAAACAATTGATGGGAATACTTAGCTTATTGGTACAGGATATTTCACGACTATGATTACTTATAAATGAAAGTAGATGGGCTAAATTTAAACCGAATTCATCAACAGTAGTTGCATCGTTGTCTGAGTTTAACAGATCTAGATAAGAGTTGGATAGTAGAAACTCGTCTGTCTCACTATCTTGATGGACTCTATTATAACCCTGTTGTTGTTGTTGCTGCCGAAAGTAAGGATTATGAAGATTATGACGGTGTTGAGATACACAATTTTTATGTGTATCTCCTTTGGTGTGTATATCACATTCTGAGATGGACTGCTTCGTTTGTGTACTTCGTTCATGAAAACTATCACGGTTAGAAGTTGAATTGAAACCATTATCCGCTGTGTCAGGATAAATTCGTGGTTGAACTCGAATAAGGATATTCTGGAAAGCAAGAAATATATATACATGTATATAAAAATATTTCTTGATTATATCACGAAAACACTGTCAAATGAATAATAGTGAAAGGTGTATTGACAATATTGTCTCACAACTATAATTCTCAACTGTCAAATCACGTAATTAGGTTGACGTCTGCGTTACACCTTTTTTGATTAGGTAAACTTTTTTTGTACTGGTGGTGGTATCGTTGCTCATCCTGTTTGTTTCAGGAGCTTAGTTGATGCTAACATTTTAACAATAATATATGCACAATAATTGTGGATAACTGCAGACCCTGAACTCACTCATAGGATGAAGCTTCCTATTGAAGAAATTATTGTAGGAATTCGCTTATGCCTAACATCTACTATTTTTAAATTCCAAGGCGAAATATATAGACAAACAGAAGGTGTAGCAATGGGATAACCAGTATCTTTGCTTTTAATACATTCAATTCTACTCCAAAAATATGGTGGATGACACTTTCACAATGTTAAAAACAGAACATATCTCTGGCTTCTTTACACATATAAACTCACTAGTAGAGGGAATAAAATTCACATTTGAATAGGAAAATGAACTAGGAGAATTAGCTATGTTAGACTGTAAAATAAAACGAATAGAAGAAGGCAAACTACACACTAGTGTTTATAAAAAACCAACACATTCTAATAGATATTTAAACATTAATTCGTCTCATCCGTTAACTGTTAAGGTAGGCTTAGTTAAGTGTCTAAAAGACCAATTCATAACACTAAGTAGCACAAAAAAAGACCTAAATGATGAAATAAAACAGATGGAAGAAGCGTTGGTGTTGAATTACTATCCCATAGAATTCATTAAGAAGATCAGTAAAGGCCAAAAACAAAATAAAAATAATTGTGAAACTAGTAATAATAACATAAATAAGAAAGAATATAAGTCATCCACTGTTATACCATATAAGGAGGGGACATCTGAAACCCTACGTAGGATTCTTAATAAAGCAGGAATTAGGGCGGCATTTAAACCTACAAACTCACTCAGAGACAAGCTCTGTAGGCTAAAACACCCCGTGGACCCAATTAGACAAAATAACATAATTTACAAATTACCCTGCAATGATTGTGAGGTCAACTAAATAGGTCAAACTAGTAGGTCAGGGATAGTCAGATTATCAGAACATAAGAATTTAGCTCAGGGAAGAATAGTTGACCCTGAAAAGATAAATAATTTAGAAAAAAGCTCAGCTATTACACTTCACGCATTAACAAACAACCACACAATAGGGTGGGATGGGGTTAAAATTCTGAAAAGTAATATAGGTAGGTGGAGAGAGAGGTTGATTACGGAATCCTTATTCATCGAGTCCACACCCAACACATGCAACAGAAATGACTCAATGCTAATACCAGAAATATGGAAGATATTATTACCACCAGTCAGTCAAATCAGAAGAGGATAATAAATAATCTTAAAATTCTGTTTCAATTCAAGCACATCCCAACCTTCTAACAAGTTACTTATTATGATTATAAAAACACTCATCTTATTTCCCATCTGATTGTAAATTGATCAATAACACTCGTATTATTATTTCTGAATGTACATATTGTACATCTCATATTGATTTTTATTCCAATATCTAGTCAATTCCACATATGTATATAAATGAAGGAAAGAAGTTGTGTGAGTAACTTGATATGATTATGAGTGGCAATAATTTGTGGTCGAAACATCATCAGTTAATATTACTCTACAACACTGTGTGATTTATCACAAAAAAAGTCTTATCCATAATGGAGTTATGCTCCACCACAGTGCCCAAGTTTTATACTTATATCAATATACACAATCACTTGGGTATTAAATATCCAATCCACCGGTACCAATTCACACTTTCCTTCAGTTGAAACTTACACCTACAACTAATAGTGATTGATGAATCATTTTATACTACACCATAAAACGGGTCATATAATACTACTAATCAAGTAGGTAAAATTTATATATATATATATATATATATATATATATATATATATATATATATATGACAGAATAGTGCGTAGGTGTAATAAATATAGCTTACCTGAGAAGTTAAATCTCGATGAATAAGATTATGACTGCGTAAATGATGAAGACCGTAAGCGATATCCAAAGCCAGGTTGATTCGTACAGGCCATGACAAGTCTATTGCCTTAGCAGCCAATAAATCTGCTAGGCTACCACCATTGGCGTACTACAGAAAAAAAAATATCCAACACAAACAGGATAGAATGAAAGTGGAGATAACAATTCCAAGGTCACGCTGCATAAAAAAATAAACAAATAACAACCAACTAGCTGATCGTTCGTTCGTTCTTTCACCTAGAGAATAGAATCTACTAAGGTCACCTGACATTCATTCGAATTATTTATTAGTAAATCCATCAGAAGTTGATAAGATCAACAAACAAACAAATAAATAAATAAATATCTAGTTATCTATTTTCTAAAACAACAGTTTTGCTTTTATTTTTCTATTCAACAGAAGTGCATACCCCATTTTGGTACTTTAGAAGTAGAAATTGTTTGCATATAGATTTAATAATTGATACAAGCTTATATGGAAAGTAAATAGCGTAACAAATCGTATTAAGCTCATCATAGTCAAGCATTAAAACACATTTCCCAATAAGTAGCACCACTTGCAACAACTACAAACTTTTTCTGTTTTTTAATCCCTTGCGTTCCGAGTCGAATATAGGGCTTCAAGCTGGAGCTGTCAGGTTATGTGGGGGGGGGGGTTGCTAGCCTTAACGCCCAACCTTCCCTATTCACCGGGCTTACTACAGGTTAGTCGAAGTTAAGGAGTGAATTGGTCGGGGATTGAACCCCCTGAGCGCACACGTGGTTGCCGCGTATCCCACCAGTGAACACAACCACCGAAGCGCAAAACGTTATGCACTAGACGACGGACTACATACATGCACACAACAGAACACTTATTTTCACAGGAGAACTAAACACAGTCATCGCTGCCTCTTGACAGACCAGAACGGCATGCATTATCCATCATGTGGCGCAAACGCACTCAAGAAGTCTCTCGCCGGTGGACTACTGTGTTCCAGGCTTACGAATAGAACATCTTTCAAAACAAAGCTGTATCTGTCATTACCTTTTTTAGGGTTAAGAGTCAAGTACGGAATCCAAGGTTAAATGGACTGATATATATTTTTCGATCAATGCATATTGATCACTATCTCTTTCTGTGTCTAACGTAGACTATTTTCTTTCTTGCAAGAAAAGCATTATTAAAACTCTATGAGTGAATAATACACCACCATGACGGTCATTCGAAACATAATTATTCATAGACGGAGCAGACTAGAAATCGTGTGTGCGGGTGTGTGTGCACACAAAGTAGCGAAGTATATTACTCAGGTGATCATATATATATATATATATATATATATATATATATATATTATATATGTATATGTAATGAGGGAGGACAGAAGTTACGTAAATTAATGAACATGACAACGATGGAATACACAAGCACATACAAGACAACTTAGCTAGTGGTTTCTGACTAATACCATTTTCTACTGATCTTAGAACATATGACTGCTTAGTATTGCCTAAGTGAAATAAGAATTAAACTGATCTCACGTAAGTGTATATATATTGTGTATATACACGCACATGCATAAATGTGAGACACTAACTCCGACACACTACAGAAGTATTAACAAAAGACAGACTATAGTGTAATAACTGAGATTAAAATTTTTCATTCATAAATCAATAAAAGATAGATAGAATTTAGGACGGATGAGAGAGAAGTTAACACCAAAAGTTTACCATAACATTAATTACTAACGGTTTCAACAGTGCCTATATTATCCTGCTTCAAATATCGATAAACTTACTTCTGTTAGACACACAAATCGAGCGCCAATCAAGCATGAACCATAGAGTCTGCATAAGATGAGAAAGCAAAGCATAGTAAAAGTAATGTGAAATGAAAAACTGAAGAAACAAGCAAATATAATTCATCTGAAAGTTCTACAAAATTAGTTCTGGCACAATCTACCTAGAAACGACTTCCTAAAAAGTAACCCATCTACTTTGTACTGCTTACCACCAGCTATTAGAGTATAAAATGTGGAGTACATACAATTTAGAAAATCAACGCAATGTATGTAATGATCATGTTTTTTTTTCTAAACTTGGTACTAGAATTTGTCGATAATTCTGCACAAATTTCATTGCGTTATTAAGAGTTTCAGCGATGAGATAACCACTTCAATTTGTCAATAAACAAGTGATTAGTAGTGACAACATAAACAACTGTCACAAGGATAAACGACCAGATGATTGGTATTGTAGGCGGTCTATATAATCACTGGTTACACAGTTGATCGAAAAAAAACAAAATCAAAGCTAGCAGGATTTAAAGAATATATTTCTCCTATGAGAGAAACCTAAACATCTTTTCTGAAAGATGAAAGTGTCAATTTTAGCGGATAATACATTTCACTACGTATGTTGCTTGGCAAAAGACGCTATGTGATTACTATTGGCTTTGTAATAACTTTTAAACACACTATTTTTCCTATAGAATATCACATGTGACCAATCATGGGATCACAGTCACAAATGCATTCTTTCTAACATAACTTTGTCAACTAATTATTCCTCTGTGAATCCCCTAAAAAGCGAAACATGTAAATAAACATCACAGGACACTAGATGGTGATCAGACAATAAAATAAGATTAGTAAACAAAATTTATAAACAAAATAACTTTGTATTTTTTTTCGAATATAACAATAAGGGTAAAATACAGTTGGTTAAAGTCCCTTTCAAGCATTACGACTAACTAGTTTCAACGTAAAACTTTGCAACACTTCGAGTTACCACATTCACCCAGAATACAAAACCAACAGAAGAGAGTAAACACAGAGTCAAAACAGATAATAGTAATATCGAAGAACCATGTAAATTTTATTGGGTATTGTAAGTTCACAAGGAGTGGATGCATCTGAGCCATCATTCAGAACGATTTTATGCCATATCACCAATTGTCTACAGCCTTCTTTGGTTTTCACTATTCCCAGGACCTAAACCAGTCAGGAAGTCTACACCTTACTACATGGCTGGCTTAAACTAGCTGTTGTGAGTTTCATTGACTGATGAAACCATGTTTTCGTTTATCTATCACCACCTCTTTTCCAACTTGGTCAATCCTATGTCAGCTAACATTCCCCAGGAAGGGTGAGGAAGGCGATCGATGGCTAGGTATGCATGCGTAACACATGTTCTAACCATCTCAGTCGATGTAACATTACAACCCCGTCAATTGATTTTCACTCCTTACCTAGCTCTTGACCGAAGTTTAGCCCCAATATTACTAGTCAACATACTGTACCACTTAACACGGAAGACAGAGTGCAGACACCTATGATCAAAACCAGAGAGCCTTTTCATCTCTTCCACTTTCAATCGCAATTTCTCACAGCCAAAAAAGAGGATGGAGAGATATGTTGAGCAGTACACACACCCTCTGGTCGATAGCCGGATAATACGTCTACACGCTACAGATTATAATTACTGTTACAGATTATAATTATTGTTTCTTTTAGTTCCTAGAGGAACATAGGGCTTTAGCCGCACGTCTCCATTGCTTTCGGTTCCCGGCCAACGTTTTCACCTGCCTCCAGGTCTTCCCACATGCTTTCTTCTCCTCTTCACATAACTTCCTCCATGTCGCTCTCGCACTGACGACAAACTCCCCGCTTCACATTCGGGTTCCACTCGATCGATGGCCCGGTGTATGATGTCACTTGATGGTTTTCTCAGAGTATGGCCGATCCACCTCCATCTCTTCCTGCATATTTGTTGCACAGTTGGTTCATACTGGGTGGGTTCGCTTCCAGAGATCCCTGTTGCTGATCTTTTCTGACCAGCAATCTGATATTGAGCATAGAGCGAAGACAGCAGTTGATGAAGGTCTGTAGTTTGTTCGAAGTGCCCTTCGTGACGCTCCAAGTCTCTGATCCCTATAGTAGCATCGACTCCATATTGGAGTTTAAAATCCGGATCTTGTTTTTCATGCTGAGTGTCATTGATATCCACATAGAATTGAGAGAAATGAAAGCTTACCTTGCTTTCCCGATCCTCGCCTTGATATTCTCGTCAGTTCCGCCTGTAGTTGAAACGATGCCTCCCGGGTAGGTAAAGGAAGTTGTTTCTTTCATATTTTTGTTGCTGTTGCTGTTGGCCAGGAATCTTCACCACCTACCTCTGTTTCATCTATGTTCACCTGAAGTCTTATCTTCTCTGGATGCTTCTTCTGCCAACTTGTTGCTTTTCACTTGCATATCTCCCAGTTTGTGGGAAATCAGACATATATTATCGGCGAAGTCCAGATCCACCAAAGCTACGCCAGAAATGGAGTAGCTTTTTGTATCCGTGCCGAGATTTCGTCAGCAATCAACCCGTTGGGGCTGATGCAACTTCCCACATAAGTGGATTTGCCGACACCCCTACCACTTCACTCTCTACCTTTAAGCTAGGAGTCAGTGTAGTTCAGTCCTGTAGCCTCATCATCTTACATTTGACGGAAGCGAATCGCATGCCAAACATTCGAAGATTGTTGCTCCTCAAGATGTTCAGGAGACTCTGCATCTTGTCAGCATCTTCACCTAGAAAGAATACACCATTCACATAATCTAAGTCAACAAGATTATACCCTGGTGACAAGTCAATCCATCAGTCGCTGAAGTCATTTAGAGTTAAGTCCATTAGTACATCTATGATGAAATTAAAGAGAAATGTGGACAGTGGGTATCCCTGAAAGACACCACTGGTTGTCATCACTGTGGATGACAAATCCCCATAGGCTCTCACTTGGCTGACTAAATGAGTTCAAGTAGAGTGCCTTGATTAATGTGATGTATTTTCCCCGCATTCCTCTCACAACCAAACAACTCCATTGTACCTTATGGTCAACGGAATCGAATGCCGCCTTCAGGTCAAGAAATATAATGATTGTTGGACGGCGGTAAGAATGCATATGTTCTAGAATCTGTCGAAAAGTGAAGATATTATCAATACACCCTCTTCCTGGTCTACAGGCTGTCTGACTCTCTCGTGTTTGTTCTTCCTGAGCATCACTTATTCTTCGCATGATTATTGAGTCTATAGCTTTAGATACCATATTAGTCAGGCTAATCCCCCTGTGATTATCACAGGAAGACTTTTCTACCTTCTTTTATATCGGGAAAATCAATGACTTACACTACCCCGATGGGACTACTTCTGATTCTCAGACGCTGTCTAATAACTAAGTTAACCTAGTCAGTTAACTGTTTCTACCGTCTTTGGACACCTCTGTACTCATATCATTAGGTATCAGTGCTTTGCCTTGTCTCAGATTAGAGACAGCTTTTGTAACCACAGTTAGGGGCGGAGGACCGGTGTTTATATCCCATTCATGGATGAGTTAGATGCTCGATAAGTTGAACGTGGCTGAGAATTAAGGAGCAACGCCGAATGAAGTGAACAGCATATTTTACACAGGATAAAACTAAGCAATCACCAATGTTATTGCACTCTCTTTTCTAAAGAAAAAAGTGCTGCAAACTTTGCAGTTTTTGAAAGTCGATAATTGGACTGCTTGTTAACACAACAGTTTACAGTCAATTCCCAACTTGCATCTTATAGCATACACAATTGTTTGGCCTTTCTGTGAACGATATTTCAGACTCACTGACAAGTAACTATACAGTGACCTGTGTATCTATTATTACTGTCGGTGCTTTCCTGATTTGTTTAGTTACTATGATCAACATCAAGGAAACAATGAGTGTATGAATGAATACTGTCATATAGGCAATTAACAAAGCTCATATCTTCCAGGTTATTTGGGGGAAATAGTGCCGTATTACATTCACTCAACAGCCTAGGGTTAAGCTTACCCTTTCATCTAGAATAATGATGAAGTATCGAAGAGACAACAATCTAGGGCTACCAAGAGTCGCAGTTCGATATGAGGTGGTTTGAAACAACGCGTATGTGTACTATCTAAGTAAAATCATAACAACTAGAAATTTTGTGAATTCTCTTTAATTTATAACTCACCTTATGGTTTAACATGAATTCGATAAAGATCCCTAGAAAATAGTCTAGAAAGTCTAGAAAGATGTTTTATTCTAAATTGCAACTTCAAATTGGTATTGGTACTTAATGTTCTTCGGAGCAAAACCTGAACTTTCAAGAATGAGACCTACTGTAGTGCGAGTAAGCTTTCAATTCACATTTTATGGTACCTTGATACTATATCATTTACTGCAGAGGATTTTAGGCGGCTGTTTTCTCCTGCTACTTCATCATTTTTTAGTAACGCTTAGCAATTCAGTTATTAAAATATACAGCTAAAAATCCGACCACAAAGCATAGGAATTATTGGAACAAAACAATAAAACAACATAATCTATCATTTTGTCAAGCTAATATAACATACATCCAAAATGAGGAAGATGGTTGGCTAAAGCGATTGTTTGCCAAGCTCTTCACTTGAAGCACAGCCAAGGTTGAGTTTGTGTGTTTATACGCTGTTCGTTTATTTTTTCTTGGGTCCTGAAAACAGTGTATACCATAGATTTGGAATAAATAGTTTCCAGCTCTCTAAGTCGAGCCCAGTTCGGTTCGCTTTGTTTGTGTGTTTCGAAATTTCACCATTTATGTCAACGAACGAAAACATGTAGGGATTTCTCAGAAACTGGCAGTTTCGAATATGCAGACCAGTGCATAACAAATCAAAAAGTTGTACTACAGAAATCGAATGGCTATAAAGTTTAGCTATCAGGTTAATCCAAGAGAGTATATAGAAATATCAAGACTAAAGAAAACTACCATGAAAAGTTGCCTACCTTAAAACATTGATATGATTTAAAGAACCCAAAAGTTCTATTTCACGCCGATGAAACGATGCTTCATTGGTCAGCTTCATAGCCATAAGCCGCTTAGTTGGACGATGATTAACCTTAAAGTAATAATACAAAATATTCCCCCAGCTCACATACCAAAAATACAGATGCAAAATATCCATTTCCAAGTCTTCCTTTGATAACAATATCCTCACAGCAGTAGAGATTTGAAACGGCTTTTTGAATAGCTTGTGCAGAGTTTGTTGGAACAAAATCAATATAGTACTTCCTGTCAGCTAAATTTTCAGACTCTACCATGGTTATGGATTAAAAATAGATAACGACCGGTGAAAATTCCTGGACACATCTGAAAAATAACATTTAAAGTGTATGTTGGGCAATGGATTTAGAGAAGAACACGATGACAGAAATATACAATCATATGTAGTTTGAAATCATCTTGTAGAAGCATAGAGAAGTTAGTTGAAAAGTAAGTTGCAAACTAGTTTTCAGGCACGCTCTATAAAAGAAGGAAAAATACACTTTAAAACAAATACCAGGTGACTTATCAACGCACAGCCTTGAATTGATTCAGGTTGCTACACTTCAAAAAAGCATACAGAAGTAGACAGCAGAAGTGTAACGGATGACGATGAATGGAGGAGTGAATAATAAGATGAAGGTTAATGGGCCGACAACTGCTAATTTTTCGTGGTGGTCGGGCTTGAATACCGCAGTGACCCAACAAGCTAAACTGGCTGGGGTTCACGTTCCTGCAGGTCCTACCATGTCAGGAAGGTTGTTTGGATAGCGGTTAAACGAAAAGCAGTCACCATGATGTACATGGGCTGCAGAATCCAAACGGATCGAATGGCTGATGAACCCGTATTAGTCACCGGTAGCCATGAAAACGTAGTTCCTGACGCTGCTCCGCTGCCCTGTGGATTAGAATTCAAGTCAAAGGCTCGGGGGTGGTCCCTTAAGACAACCACCTGCTTTGGTCTGGGCGCCCGGGCAGTATCTCAGCCGTCACACAATACATGAAATGAAGCAAAAAACTACCAGTGAAACTTATCGCGTGCTCGTAATAATGGTATCTCAAGTGACACGTCTCTTTCCATCCTTACCTTTATTTTTATACACAGACTCCTGCATTTTACCTTTGCTAACCTTGACATCTTCAATTTCGTCAGCCTGTCTCCTTTGTCTGAATTCTCAGCTTATCTGTGACGTTTCGAAATGTTAGTGAGTAGTCTTCAAAATGATTGTGCCCATTGCGATATCTAACAATGATATCCTGAAACCGCATGTAACGTTCAAGCTGGTCACTTACAATGTTCGGACACTGATGCAAATCGGACAATAGGCAGGGTTGGTATGAACATTTGAAAGCCTCGCTATCGATGTCTGCTGCATTTCGGAGGCCTGCATTCAGGATCCCAGTGAAGTGCTTCGATTATCCTCTCCATCTGAATGTTCGAATAGTGTGTTCTACCTGCGCTTGTCCGGGGACCCTGTGGCGTCGGCATCCGGCGTAGCTGGTGTCAGTGTCGCACTGAGCACTAGAGCCGGAGCTGCATTACTCGACTGGATAACCATTAATAGTCATTTTATGTGCTGTGAGGCTGGAAGTTTATACGAAAGTAAGGAGTGCTAGGCCAGATAGGCTGGGTCTATTTGTTGTCTCTACCTATGCACCGACGGATCGCATGCCGGATGAATTAAGGATGAGTCGTAATACCAGCTGCGCAATCTCTTGGAACAGACAGGTCGGAGGAATATCGTAGTGCTGACTGGAGACTTGAATGCACAAGTTGGGTGTCTAAGATTAGAGGAGAACCGTCTAGGTGGTCAATGAGGCTTACATGGTCGCAGGTCAGATAATGGGGACCGTCTTCTGCAGCTTTGCGTAGATCACAACCTATTTCTAGCCAGCACCAACTTCCGGCACAGCCATCGCCTTAGCGCTACCTGGCGTCCTCCCTCTGCGAAGCAGGCTTCGACTCAGATTGATCATATTGCTGTCAGTTTCCGGTGGAGAGGATGCATACAAGACTGTCGCTCCTTCTGGAGCACATGCCTGGACTCCGATCATGCGTTAGTGTGTACCAAGTTCGTCTTGCGATTTGGTGGGGTTCATAAAAGACGTCGTCTAAGCGTTGATGTGAGCAAATTAGTAGCACCTGCTACTTCTTTGAAATACCAGGCTGAATTACAATCACTGCTTGCTAGGATCCCGCGCTCCTAAGTAGTATAGATGAGCATTAGCTTCATCTGCAAGACGCCATGCAAATGGGGAGTGTAGCTCCTTGCTGCTTAAAGAAATGCTCCGCTAAAAACCACTGGGTTTCTGCGAGTTCCTTGCAACTCCTGGACGAAAGCCGGTTCATTCCGACTGGCAGCGAATACAACAATCAGCGAAAGGCGCTCACGCGCAAGATTAGACAGTGTTTACGTAAGGACCGCGAAGCCTGGTGGTCAGAACGTGCGTGTGAGATGGAGTCAGCTGCTGCATCTGGCGACAGTCGGAAGCTGTTCCAACTCATACGAGCCACTGGTAGCAAGAAACAAGGTGTCAGCGAGACGGTCTGTGAGGCAGATGGCACGCCAATTACCAGTCTGAAAAGACACCTGGAACGCTGGGCAGAGCACTTCGGGAAGCAGTTTAGCTGGCCACCAGCTTCAGTGTCTACTATCATTAGTCCGAGTGCTCCTTGGTCGGTTAGTACCGACCCACCAACCGAAGCGGAGGTCCGTAATTCTGAGGTCCAGAGGCGTGTGTTTGAACACAGTAAAGATCACCATTTATTGAATGTGGTCATCTGGAAACACCGGCTCCGGTGGATTGGACGTGTGCTGCGAATGTCATCTCAGGGACTTCCGTACAGGTCTCTGTTCGCTAGACAGCCCTGAGACGGGATGGAAAAGGCGGAGAGGTGGTCAGCCTATGACGTGGCGCTATGGGAAGAAGGATATTTGAGCTACGTTAGCAACGGTTGTTGCGTCACGACTCCCTGGTTGAAGTCCCAGAGATAGCTCGAATCGATGGCTCGAAATGTTATCGGATACGGCCAAGAATCGTAATCAATGGCGAACGTGCTGTGATTTCCTTCTTTCTTCCCTTCCCGATGATAATTAACGAATACTGTTTGAACTTGTTAAGTATGACTGTTTTCCTTCCAGATGAAGTTCTTTGCCCGTTCATCTATATTTCTTACTTTTAATCTGTTGTTTTATTATTATTAATGTTTGGTACATTGTACCAAGTTTTCTGTTTAAATAATAATGATGGGGATTTTTAACAATATGGAAGATTACCAGTATATACAGCTGAGTCAATTTTCACTGGAACGCAAGGCATTACCTAGCAGTCAAGATTAATCCTACTATAACTAAGAGAAAGCAGGACTCGTGCTTTATCTTAGAAATGTCAGTGAGTGTGACCGAACTGAATTTTGAGCACAAAGATGCAGCCAGTTCAAGTTGGACACACTTTATAAAATCAGACAAAGCCAGAGAAAAATAAAATAAGCTATGATAGACAGAAATGTACATAAATATTGAGGATTAATGAATACAGATGATTACAGAAGAATCAACGATTTTTAGCCATGTTACCAAGTTCCAAGCCATTGGTTCTTAGTGTATTGAAAACCCCAGCCAGACAGTATGACTCAAAACAACATCAGATTTCATGGATTGATGTCATGTTTTGTGTTGGCTACCCTTATCTCTTTTCTAAGCCAATCCTATATCAGCTCGATGTGGGAGACGATGGCCTGTTATGCGTGACATCTGACCTCATTATTACACTGCCTAAAACGACACACAATGCTGACACCTATAGTGAAAGACAGCTGGTCTCTTCATATCTTTCAGTTTCAACAGCTGTCTCAGCCATAAAGTAGAAAACAAACTACAATACACTTATTCAACTTCCCTTATACATTGACTAACATTGACAACTCATCACCACTACACTCATATTAATCTTCACAACCCTAGTTACAATTTGACTACTCACTCCATTTTTTGAAATATTTTGATGACGTAAACAACTCAAACTAATTTCTATTCTTATCTGACAAAGCTAATGCACACACGCAAAAATAATTATAAATAATTCCAATTGTACAGCTAAGTGAATGAATTCCCCGAAAGAAGACTTCGCTGAACTGTGTTTTGTTTTTCATCAGTGTTTGGATGAAGATTATACATAAATTAGAAAACGAACTGTTGCATACTTTGACAGGCAGTCATATATAAAGGGTACGCTTTAGATGGAGTAATTTGGCACATACTGTACATGCCTTTCGTATCCAATGAGATTTTGTCAGCAATCAGTCTATCTGTATTGATAAGAACTAACCGTTTCATTATCTAACCGTAAATCAGGAATCAGTGCAGAACAGTACTGGTGCATTGATTTACACTTGAGATAACTGCTCAATGAGTTAAGAAAACTAAATTTTTCTATTGTCGAAGGAGTCAAATGTCAAGAAATATGCGAAGTGTCGCACGCTGATAAGCATTCTTATTTTTCAGAATTTGCCGGATGGTGAAGATGTGATCAACACACTATCATTGGCACTTAGAACCCGCCTGATATTCACAGCCTCATTAATTTTGAACACTGCTACATCAACACAATTACAGAATCTAGAATCTTAGATACTACATTAATGAAGCTGATCTTGATGTGATTACTACAGGATTGGTCTTGTTGCTTTAATCCCAGATGACCAGTTACTTGCACCAATCCGAAGATTATTTCTGATCCTCATACACTGCCTAATACCTTGGTAAATCTATTTGATAATTCACCATCAACATCCTTAAATACCTCTGAAGCCATACCATAAAGTAGTTGGGGTCTTCGACACCTTAAAAACCAATGCCCACAGACCGTTGGTGACATCAGTCGAAATCCTTTTGTACATACATTCATTTTGCAATCCACTGACTAACTGACTGACTGGTTTCCACGTGGAACTTCGCACAGATGTGCAACACTTCGAGTTGACAGACTCACTCAGCATAAAAACCAACAGAAGAGAGTAAACACAGAGTCGAAACAGATAATAAACAGAAATATGAGGCAAAAACAATAGATATATCGAAGAACCACATAGTTTTATTGGGTATTGTAAGTTCACAAGGAGTGGATGCATCTGAGCCATCATTCAGAACGATTTTATGCCATATCACCAATTGTCTACAGCCTTCTTTGGTTTTCACTATTCCCAGGACCTAAACCAGTCAGGAAGTCTACACCTTACTACATGGCTGGCTTAAACTAGCTGTTGTGAGTTTCATTGACTGATGAAGCCATGTTTTCGTTTATCTATCACCACCTCTTTTCCAACTTGATCAATCCTATGTCAGCTAACATTCCCCAGGAAGGGCGAGGAAGGCGATCGATGGCTAGGTATGCATGCGTAACACATGTTCTAACCATCTCAGTCGGTGTAACATTACAACCCCGTCAATTGATTTTCACTCCTTACCTAGCTCTTGACCGAAGTTTAGCCCCAATATTACTAGTCAACATACTGTACCACTTAACACGGAAGACAGAGTGCAGACACCTATGATCAAAACCAGAGAGCCTTTTCATTTCTTCCACTTTCAATCGCAATTTCTCACAGCCATAAAAGAGGATGGAGAGAAACGTTGAGCAGTAACCCATACCCTTTGGTCGATAACCGGATAATACGTCAACAACATAGACGATGTAAACTAAACGAGCCTTCTGTATCCGTGCTGAAATTTCGTTTATCGTCAACCCGTTGGGGCTGATGCAACTTCCCAAATAAGAGCTCACTTCCTATTTCTAAGCTAGGAGTCGATGTAGTCTAGTCCTGGAGCAGCATCTTACATTTGGCGGGAGCGAATCGCATGACCCATGCAGACACTTTACACTGCATAATAGGGAAAACTCATGCAGGTTGATGAACTTCACATAAGTGCATTCAGTTAGAACACTAGGATGTTTCAGCAGTGACTTAAATAACCTCATGCATATT